CAATTTGAAATTGCTAGATCCAAAGTTCTAAACAGTTTTTATGTTTTCTTTTACCGAACCCGGATTGGTGCGATGCTCACATCTTGTAGTGATCAAGAAATTCATCCAATCAAGGAGTACTTCCTCACCTTTATTTTCTTGACCTCCCATAAGTTCCCTAGAGCCCCTCAAGCCAGGGCTTTGTGCTCTGAATTCAGCCAGAGAGAAAGAAGCGGGCTGCTCCAGCTCTTGCCCTTTGTAGTTCAATACCAGCCTGGTTAGGGCTGGGATAATGATGATGACAGTGATCATGAAGTTAACTATAACGACCCCCTGGGAATATTATCAGCTCCAGTTTACAGGTAAGGAGACGTGGGAAGTTGAGGTAGGTTCAGAGAGGTGCGGGACTTGCCCTCAGTCACACAGCTAGGGACGAGCACAGAAGAACTCACATCTAGGTCCATGTGACTCAAGGCTCCTCTTTTACTGCTCAGCTCAGCTACCCTGCACCACCACTCCCAGGTGGATGCGCAGGGCTGGAGATTCCTGGGCACAACAGGTCTGTCTGGTTCTTCCAGGCTGAGCTGTTTATCATTTCGGAGGAGGACACTCATCACTGTGCTAATTACATTAATTGCTGCCCACTCCGCAGCCAGGTGGGTGGTTGAATAACACCTAGCAACCTGGTAATGATGCCTGGGCCTGTCTTTATATGTGAAAACATCTGACATTTTTTGAAACTTCTTCCTGTGGTGGCCAAAGATAGTAATTAGAGGTTCTATTGGTTGGAAGTTAGTGACTCTACCATGTAGGGGAAAGGTCAATGCTCTGAACTTTGGCCTCCATCAACCTCTTTACTGCAAGAGAAATTTATGAAGCATCAGCTTTGTGTTTGACATTTTATTTAAGGGATCTTGTATAATTTCATGATTGTCTGTATATTATCTTTACTTTGTTTATAAGAAGAGCCAGTCACTTGCTTGGGGTCACAGATCTAGGGACAGGTAGGAACAGGCTTAGAGCTAATAACTATCAGAGAACAGATTCAGTCTCTACAAATTTCTCTCACTGCAGCCCCTCCCAACAGGAGACTGAATTATAGACAATTGGTGCTGCGTGTATTTCTAGGGCACAGACAAGGCATTAGGAGTTGGTATTTTGTGGAGGTCTTAATCTTAAGGGTGAATATACAAGATTTCAACAATCCAACGTCCACTACTTCCCCGAGCTTCTGAAGGAAATTCAATATAAATATGTTAACTGTAATTTTACTATACGTTTTCCAGGTAACTTTTTAAGAGATAATTTCTACACTACATCTGTATTCTTTTTGTGAAAAGACAAGATATCTCTGGTGATTCATCATAATTGGGTAAATGACTTAGAGACCCAGATAACAGAGGCTAATTTAGGAAGTAATTGACTTTGGAATGTTGTGTATTCCTATACTTGTGGGTGTGCCCATACCTACCATGTAGTTATATATGACAATAAATGTGTGTGTGTGAACACACACACATTCTTCAGGAAGTCTTGGAGTAGTGGTGGACTTAGATGACTTGGCGTCTGTTATACTGCTATAGCTTGGATCCTGAATGACCCCAAAGACCCATGTTTGAAAGGCTTGGTTCCTAGCCTGACACTATGGGAAGGTGCTAGAAATATTTCAAAGGTGGGACACAATGGAAGGGGCTGGGTCATTGGAGCATGCCCTTGAAGGGGGCTGTAAGATTCTAGTCTCTTTCTGTCTTTCCCTCTTTTATGTCCTGCCCATGAGGCAAATGGGCTTTTTCTGGCACATGCTTCCACAATGATGTCATGGATTAAAATCTTCAAAAACAGAACAAATCTTTCTTCTTTTTAAGTTGACTTATCTCAGGTATTTGTTACCATATTGGAGAGGTAATACACCTACTATATCTATAAATGAGGTTTAGAATGTATTATACTAAAACTCAGAACAACTGCACTATATAACAATGCAGGGTGGTAGAGACATTTGGAGCTAGACAGAGATTTGAATCTTGGCTGTCCACTTACTAGCTGCTATGACTTGGGCAAGTCAGTCAACCTCTCTGGGCATCAATTTTCTCATTTCTAAAATTAGGGACAATAGCAATTTTGACTTTACGGGGTTCTTATAGATCAGAGAGGTTTCTGGGGGCCTAAACCATGGTTGTAGCCTTCTCTATACCCAGCCAGAATGAGATATGGCAATAAGAGGCTTTGGGCTTAGACAATGCCTCAATTTCATACCAGCGCTTCCATGTTGGCTTCGTAACCTTGGAGAAATTTTCAACCGTTCTGGCCTTCAGATTCCTCATCTATACAATGGAGACTGTTATTCCTGCATCAGATGACTGGAACACACTGAGGTGGATGTGTGGAGATGTGCACAGCGATTAGCACCAGGAGGCACCCAGCAGAGGCGGTTACCCCTCCCTTTTTCCGTTCCAGAGCCTTTCCTTCAGCAATGGGTGACGCCTTCTGCCTGACAGGCAAAACACCGTCTTTCCTCTCTTCCTCCATTTCTCCTCCTCCCTATTGTTTTTTTCTTTCCTTCCCCTTCTGGCACAACCACTTCTCCTCTTCAGCTGTGTGGTGCTTTGATTGGATCCCTCTGTCCAGGCCACAGAGGCCTCCGCTGGCTTCTGGGCAGCCTGCTACCTGGCCTCTCTGCCTCTCATTTGCCACAGGTGGTCCTTCCACAGCCCTGGCTGACCCTACTGCCCTTTGTGCCCCAGTGGCTCTCTTGCCTTGGCTTATGTGGCTGGGAGTGAACTCCCCACAAACCCGCTAGCCACGCCTCATGCACTCCTCACCCATTCTGCTCACCTCAAGGGCTGCTGACTCTACTGGAACTTTCTAGGCAGGTGCTTGCTTCAGTCTTCTACACTTGCAGCTCTCTGTTGGCTTCAGACTTCACCCTCTCTCCTCTTTGCCCTCTGCCCTCATATGTAAAATCACACCTGGATTTTGCCTAGTCCTCTTTATTTTTTGTTTCTTCTTCTCATGTATCAGTGATACAGCACACATTTATTCATTTACTCTGTTGCTGTCTCTCTCCCTGGATCAGAGCGTGAACTTTCAAGAGCTGACTCTGATCTGTGTTCTGCAGACCCTGTGGAGAGCAGGTATGCAGTGACCGTTTCCTGGTGTGTGTGAAGGTACAGGATTCCTCACTGACTAGCATCCAAACTGAGGTGACAGAAGTGGGTGGACTCTTAGGGTCCAGCGCTATGTCATCTGGATGGTGACATGGCTGCTTCACGCTGTATTTGGTGCTGAGGTAGCAATGCTATCTAGAACTCCCCTGGCGGCTTTGCCATGTGGTTCCCTTTGTCACAGTGGCCTGTCCCCATCACAGATAAAGATCACTTGAGGTTTAAATTTAGCACCACTATAGCAAATTGAAAGTTAGAGGTGTGTTCCCTAATTGTCCCCAGCCTGGAAACAGAGACAAAGGCGTGCTGCTCTGAATCACTCTTCTCTACCTTCCAGCTCCCTGTCCTCATTCTGTGCGGGTCGTGAACTGTGATGGCTCAGTGAAGGGACAGATGAGCTTGGGAGTGCAGGGCTCTGGAGCCAACACCAGCACTTAGTGTCTGTGAGATCTCCAGTAGGCTATCTCAATCCCTGGGGCCTCAGTTTCCCTGTCTGTACAGTGGGCCTGCTTGGAAACATGTGCTGGGTAGTCACCAGGGCCACTGTGGCCACCCTCAGTGCACATTCAGGAGGTGCCAGCCACTGTCTGAGGTGCCTACAGGCATGGTGAAGTGTTTTTGTAATCTTTGGTCTAGGTCAGTTGATGGTACCAGCTCAAAGCTAAGCAGGCTCAGGACAAGGCTGTCAGCACCTGTGCTTCCTACAGGCTTCCATGAGATCCTGCTGCTGCACCAGAGGTTGAAGGCTCAGGGGCAGGGGTGGGGGCATCACAGAGGGAGGAGGGTCATTTCTGCTGGTATGAGTGTCCTGTGACTGCTGTAACAAATGGGCACAATCTTGGTGACTAAAACAGTAGAAACTTAGTCTTTCACAGTTCTAGAGGCTAAAAAAAGGAAAAACCCTGAAGTTGAGGTGTTGGCTAATTAAATAAGGTTCCATTCATTAGAATTGGAGGTTAGGACTCAGTCATATTGTTTTGGGACAGAATTTAACCCACTCTAGTGCACTCCAGGAAGCCCAGATTAGGAAGGTTTGGCCAGCCAGAGCCACGAGAATCCAAGTAAAGGGTGTGACAATCCTCATGGAAAGTGGCAGGGCCGGGAAAGGCCTGACTCAGTAATTTTGATCCAGGTATGTCCACGGAGTGTCAGAGTGAGGTCCCCGCCCTCAGGGGGTCCACAGATGAATGAGAGGATAAGAGAAATGGGCAGTGGCAGGGCGGCACACAGGGGCTGTGGTGCAGGGAGGCCCAGCACTGTGGGCATGACCAGGTCAGGCTGCAGCCTGGGGGCAGGGGGTGGTCCAAGAGAGCTTCCTAGAGAAAGCGCTGTCTCACCCGATGACTGAGGGCCAAGGGGGCAGGAGCCAGCCAGGCTGAAGCAGGGGCGAGGTCTAGGAGGAAGGAACAGACAGGAAAGGAAAGCCTAGCCAAGCAGGGGCTGGAGAGGTGGATGAGGGAACAGACAGAAGCGGAGCCTGTATGCCATCCAGAGAGCATGGGAGCCAGGGGAAGACTTTTTTTGGAGGGGGGGCATGACCAGATCTTCATATAAAAAATAATGAGGGGAAGCCCTGTGAGCAAAGTGATTTTATAGTAGGGTTTAAAACTATCGTGCATTTTTAGAAAGAAGTTGAATGTAACAGAAAAGGGCACAACTCCTAGCAGTGCCTTTGGGTGAAGGACTGGCAGTTCTGGCGTAGGGATGAGCAAACAAGAGCAGTTGCAGAGGACAGCTGGAGCAGGGCAAGGGCCCCAGATCTCCTCTTTGTCCCCTGGGAAGCAGCCCCATCACAGAAAAGCCTGGGACCTGCAGTGGGAGGCCTGTTCGGAGCCTGCTGGCTGGGGTCCCCTCCAGGGTGGTCTCAGGTAAGCAACCATCTTTCACTTGTCACTGGTTTTGCCATCCACAGAAGGGGCCAGCAGGATCCACCTCACCAAGATGGCGCAAAGACAGCTCAGTCATGAAGCTGGTGAGAGCTGTGCGTATGATGCAGAGAGCTGTTAACTTGCTTCTCCATTCCCATCTGTCTCTACTCTGGGCCGCTCCCCCTACCTTTCCTCCTTCTCCACCTGATGCTTTGACAGGTACAGAGGAGCAGGGCACTTTCTCCTTCAGCAGCACTTTTCTTGTTTGCTTCTCAAACAAGACTCCATCTGGAGTGTTCTACCTTTCTTTGCCCCCATCCTTCTTGCGCAGTGCCTGCCATCTCCCCAAGCAGGCCCTGGATCACGGGCAGAGGACAGGAGTCTGGGCATTGGGGTGGAGGTGGGGGACAGAGAAGGGGGACATGGCACTCACACTCAATCTGCTGTCCAGTTTGCAGAGACGAAGCAAAAACAAGTCAATCAGAGCAGAGGGAGCTAAGGCCAAGGTCTTGGTGTCAGAGGCGAATAGCCCCAAAGAAGCTGGACACCGGAGGGACCACGTAATTAGGTAAAACATTATGAAGAAAGTGACCTCAGGGCTGCACTTGCCCTCTCTCCTCCCATTTCAGATCCTTGGCTTTGTGCAGTAAATACTCTTCAGCACCTATCGTGTATCAGATAATTACTTTATACTTATTGTCTTGCTTCAGTTGTACAGAAAGACTGGAAACAAAACAAGGTAATGACAGGCACAGATTTATAGAGGCCTACTCAAGACCACAGCACTCTTCAAAGAAGGAAGCAGCCTTGGGCCCACATGCACCCAGCCCCAGGGCTTCTGCTCTCTCCACCCACTACTGTGAGGGAGCCCTGCATTTTATTGGGCTGCACTGGGTGGTGTGCATTTTTGTGTATATGTGCACAGGCCGACAGGGCCTGGGAATCCTGCTGGCTGACGTGGGATGCTTGTGCTTTGAATGACTACGTGCATTTTTGTTTGCAAAGTGTGGTTGCAGGAGAACAGGCAAGGGAGCCTGCAGACCTACAGTGTGGGAAACCAGTCACCCGGGGGGAGGGCTGGTCCTTGAACCAAATATTGGAGAATAGGTCTTCTTAGCCCAAGTGAAACTGCACTTCACAGGGGGCCCTGTGTTTGTCCGGGATTACTTGATTTCCGAAGCATAGCTCATTCTTCTTTAAAATAAAAAAAGGAACTAATATCCATTTAGCCCTCACTATGTGCCAGGTGTGATGGTCAGTGCTTTACAACTCGACATCATTTAATTGTCAGACTCCAGATGCAGAAGGGACCCCTTTCTCATCTCTGTTCAGCCTGGAGTTAGGTCAAGACAGGCCATGCAACTGGGCCTGAGGAGCTGAGCCGGGTACCGACCCAACTGGCATTTAAAGTTATCTGTGGAACAATCTATTTTTCAATAAAATTATAAATTGTCTCTAGTTCATAAAATGGGATGCTGGCATACTGATCCTGCCCTTGCTTTTGTTTGAAAAAGAAGTGTTTGTCTCTTCATTCCTAACTGAGCTGCTGTGCCCCAGAGACAGGAACTGCTCCTCCAGGTCACAGTAGTGTGATTTCTGGGCTGGGGCTGACAGCTCAGGTATGCTTGCTCAGTTGGCCTTTTATTTCTTTAATTCCTTAGAATTACCTGGCCTCTTTCAAGACACCACCCGCATTACCATGGTAAGTGGCTGCTGAGAAACTGTCAGCGCAATGAGGAGGGCAGGGACCATGGCCTGGCTGACCCGTGTTCAGGGTGTGCATTGAGTTCAGAGGGAGGGAGGTCTGCAAACCTAGCGGCTGCCTTTTCACACCTCTTCTAAGGCTCCTAAAGGCAGAAGGGGTGAAGGGGAACTGGGGCAAATGAGCTCTTAGGCTGGCCTGTGAAGTACAGAGGATCTAGCCACGTGACCGTAGCACACCTCTCCGTTGCACTCCCTCTGCCTCCGTCTTCTCATCTGCCTGGTGGCAGTGGTACAGCCCCCATGTTTATGGCTCTGGATCAGGGCTCCATCTCGGGACAGTACAGTGTGTAGGCCACAGCCAGGAGGCTGGAAGTCTGCCCGACTCTGCCCTGAATGCTCTCTCTCCTCATGTGGCTTCTTTTCTATAAAAGGAGGGAATCAGCGTAGTTTGGAGGTCTCCTTTTCTATAAAAGCAGGGAATTAGAGTAATTTTTGATATTGCTATTGTTTTTATCTCTAAATACCAAGATTTTTTGTGTAAGTAGAGGACTAGAAGTAACCTTTTAAGAGGTGAATGGATACTTACTCTTTAGCTATCCAGTCATTCAGCAAATATTTAATGAGGCCCACATGTGTGAGGTACAGAATCATGGAACTTCTAGGGAGCATGATACCTTTCAGGGGAGTATCCCTGTCTCACTTAGTTGGAGTTCCAGGCCTCCAAGGGGGAAGACATTTGCTGAATGACGTTCATTAGATGAAGGAATCAGTGCAAGCACTGTGGTGCAGCTCTTGGCAGTGCCCTGGGGACATGAGAGATCCTTTCCCCAGAGATGATGCCTGTGTAGATGCTAGAACCCAGGGAGAGAGGAAAATGCCACTGTTACTGTGACACTGGGCCAAACCCAGAGGACCCTGAGAAGCTGTGGAGTCTTAATCTTGCCTGTATCCCGTTAGGGGGGACCTGGGGCCAGCTGGGGTGTGGAGCCACAAGCACTGGCCTTTGGACCATAGTCAGGAGCTACATGTTTCCTGCCTGCATGGGCCTGGCTTGGGTTTGAAAGCTGTGGAATCTCAGGCAAATCACTTAACCTCTCTGAACCGGCTCTCTCATCTGCTGAAATACATCACCTTGGGAGTCTCTCTAAGAGGTCATGAGGTGTGATGTGTCTCAGGCACCCAAAGCCAGTACCTCCACTAATTATAAGCTGGCAGTTCAGTTGGTATCTATTACTGCTACATTATTGGAACCCAGGTCTTGAGCAGGGCTTAGAAGAACTTTGATAAGACAGCCTTGCAGGAAGTTGAATCATCTTTGTGCAGTAGTGAAGCAGGACCCAGTGAGTTTGGAAGATTTAGCTGTGGTTGATTTCACCCACTCACCAGCTGTCTGACCTTAGATAATTTTTGCCCTTTCTGAGGCTTAATTTTCTCATCTGGAAAATGGAGATAATTTTTATGCCCAATTTTCTGTATCCACCTGTTAAACAGTTACTGAATGGCTTCTAGGAGCGGGTGTTGAGGGTGCAGGATTAGGACACAGCCCTGTCCATAGTGAGCTCACACCCAGGGGAAATACCATTAAGTATCTTTTTACATTAGCGTATAGTGAAGCACAGAACGCAGCAGGACCCTAGCCCCATCTCTGTAAATGAGGAGGACCTCCTGGGAAGGGGATGGAGGGTGGATGGAATATAACCAAGTAACAGCAGAAAGGAAGCAAGGATTGCCAGGGCAGTGGAAGAAGAAGCAAGTGCAAAGGCCAGGAGCGAGCAGGGAGAGTGGACTGCAGGCATGGCTAGCTGGGCAGACCTTTCTGCAGTGGGACTTTGTGAGGACAGCAGAGGCCAGGAGAGATTTTAAGTGAGAGAGTTGGAGTGACACCAGGCATTTGCATTTTAGGCCCCACTCTGTTTCTGTGCCTCAGTGTGGTTGTATTAGGAGAACAGCCAGAGGAGTTGATTCTTCTCTCCTCTTCCCCCTCCTCTCCCGCTCGTGTGATATCTCCCATTACAGGGGGGACCCCCACGAGGGCCTCTTGTGTCGTGTTCAGCACACAGTGGGTGTGCCATTATCATGTGAGCTTCTCCTGCTTGAATGTAGCTCCTGAAAGGAAATCCCCTGGGCTGAAGTGCAGTTGGGGCAGAGGTAGGGGACCAGGAGGTAAGGCGGGTGTATCTGGGGGTGTGGGGCTACAGCAGCAGGATGTAGGTCAGAGGAAGTTCCTCAGATGGTTTGGCCCCAGCTAGTACTCTGGGGCTTCAGATAGGTCATGGTACCCCCCCCACCCCCATTTCGGAAGACTGTCCTCTCAGGGCCTGGTCTGGAATGCTCTGTGTGAGTTGGCTTCCTTACCTGTGAAATGGGCGTCAGACCCTGGGTGCCACCAGCCTGGTGGAGTTGTAATAAGGACGAGAAGGAGAAGCATAAACCATGACCAAATAACTCAAGAGAGGAGCTTTAGTGCTGCCTTCCAGGCCAGGCCTCAATCTGCAGAGCAGGGAGCACTCTGGTTCCTTTTTCACAGGTGCCCAGGGTCACCTGCAGGCACAGAGTACGTGGATAGAGCCAGAGCTCTGGTATTTTAGGGGCCACACCATGCATGCCCCCAGCATTTGAGAGCCACCAGGGGCTCCTGGGTGCTCAGCAAGATGCAGGTTCTTACTGCAGACCGCAGGAGGATGGAAGGAGCCTCCTGACTGTTTGCCTCCCAGACCCACTGTGGGAAAGGGCACGACACCTCCTGTGGAGATGACCTGTCACTTGGCTGGCTGCTCACTCAGGCGAGGCCAGGACTCCGAAGGGCAGGGACTGTCTGGGTCACACTGCTATCCCTGGGGCCCAATGTAGGGACAGGCACGCAATACACATTTATGAACACATTCTTTCTGCCCCTCGCCTGGATGTCCTGCCTGAGGTACTCCTTGGCCAAGCCTCTGAAGAGGGAGCAGGGGCTGGCGGGTAAGTCTGCCAGGTCGTTGTGCCCAGGTGTGATGGAGGTGCTGCACAGGCAGTGCAGCTGCTGGACCAGCCGGACACAGCCTCCGCACCCTTCATGCTTGTCCATCCAGCCCGCATCTGGCCCCTGGGGCTGTGAGGCAGAGCACAGGATGCAGGTGTTAGGGTCCCCAAGGTCTTGCCTGGTGCTTCTTGTGGCCTGGGGTTTGCCTGGCCAGAGGGGACCAGAAGGCTAATGGGGTACTTTGAGCAGCCAGCTTTCCTCCTCGCCCCTGGCAGGAATGGAGTTAGGGAATGGGGACGTGGCTTGGGCCATGGGGTGGCAGGGGCTGGGCACAGGGAGAGGCAATGACACTGCTGGGGACTGCGGATCAGAGGTGCCAGGAGGGGAGGGAGACTTCTGTTGCCAAAGCGGGCAGTGGTGTGCAGCAGCAGCCCAGTGAGCAGGGATTCAGGCCCTGGGGACAAGGGAGGGTCACGGAGAGGGACATAGGAAGGGGCGTGGGGAGGGACAGGGGAAGAGCTCCCCACTGGGCTGTCCCATGTTCTCCCAGGCCAGGAACAGCGCTGAACACAGGCTTGGGCTGGCTTGGGTGGAGCCAGCTGGGCCACCCACAGGCCCTCCTGCTCCTGGGTGAGTGACTTCCCCAGTCGGGCCCACAGTGGCCCCCACCTCCCGGACACGGTGTGAAGACACCAACGTGGGGAAAGTGGTCAGCACGTGGGAGGTGCACCTGGGCGTCAGCACCAGCTCCCAGCCCAAGGGCCTGTGTGGGTCAGATGAGCTTGGCGAGTTACAGTGGCTCATCAAGGCAGAAAAGGAGAAGGAGGGCCAGGGATGTAGCTCAGCTGCGCAGCTTCTGCAGAGATTGCCCGCCTGTGTGCAGAACTCAGCCTTCCTCCCTCGCCCCTGTCGTCAAGGAAACCGTAAACAGTCCTCACCAACAGAGGAGAGTCCACGGCAGCCCAGACGGGTCAGGGAGGGCTGGCACGCAGCTTCAAGCACACGATAAATCACAGGCCAATTTCCTGGGTGACGACTGAAACCCTTTTTACATGAAAAAGTATCAAATAAATAATGATGGAGAAGACTGAGACGCTCAGAATCACCCTAGCTGAAAATAGGAGTCTTCAAAGAAACTCTGGGCCATTTCCACACCCTTTCCTGGAATGTACTTGGCACCCTGTGCTCAGGCGGGTAAGCTGAGGATGCCCACCTCGGAGTGGGGCCGTTCCTGATGCTGCGGCCACCGCCCTGGGTCTCTGCCTGGTCCCTGGCCGGCCACGCTCTGCCCCACCAGCACCCGCCTCCAGCCCCACGTGGCCCGGGCTGCATGAGCAGGATCTTTGTGCAATTTTCAGTCAGGGCTGCGGCCCTCACCTCGCCCTCGGGACCAGCCAGCATCTCTGGCCTGGACTCCAATCCCCACCTGAGAAAATTACTTAATTGGTCTCAGTTTCTGCATCTGTAAAATGGGGGTTAGCAACACTGAGCTCATGTACTTGTTTTGAGAAGAGTGGATACCATTCATAAAGGGCCTGGACATTTAGAGAATGAATTAAATGCTGTGTTTTGCTGTTCTTGTTGGGCAGGCCCGAATGGGGATCTCACATCGGCCAATTAGGAACTCCTTGCCCGGGCCAGGTGCGGTTTTTTCAGTTTCCTGGCAGGAGGAAAGAGACCCGTCTCAGGGCAAGGAGAGGCCAGGCGCCAGCTTCCGGCAAGGCCACTGTGATGATACCTGCAGCTTTTGAACCATTCACCAGCACTGTTTCAAGCACTTTGCACCTTGTAACTCGGTGAATTCTGCAATTGCAGTATGCGAGAGGTCTTATAATGTTCCCTGTCATAAGGAGACTGAGGACCCAGGAGACTGAGCTACATCCGCAGAGTCCCAGGGTTACAAAGTGGGATGTTCCGCACCGCACGAGTGTATGGGGCTCTATGCCAGGCCATGGGGATGCAGCCAGCACCCCTGTACCTGGCCCTCCTCAACCCAGGCAGGCCTCCTCCGGGTTGGGGGCATTCTCTGCATGCGC